CTTTATGCTTTCTATAACGTTGCTCAAAAGTTACGTTGAGGGCCACTTGTATATTTTTTGTCAGTGAGGATGTGATTAAAAAAAAAACTATCAAACCCATGTTTTGTATAGAGTTGTGTAATTAAGTATCAAATTGTAGTGAAATTAGTAATTATTGTTTAATGTGTGATCAATATACATGGTTTTATTTCTATTTGGGGCATTTTGAATCATGCTGTGGGTAATCAATTTGATTGTCTTTGATGAAATGCGTGACATGGACTTGATTTCGTGGACTTTCGTTGATGGTTCTATATGCAAAGAATGGTGATATGGGTTCAGCAAGGCAGCACGGGAGTTGTTTAATGGGTTGCCTGCGAATGACATGGTAGCGTAGACTGCAACGTTGACAGATTTCATACAGAACGCTAATCCAAGGAAAGCATTGGACTACTTTGAGAAAATGTAGAGAACAAGTGGAGACTGGTGAAGTAACATTGGTTGGCGTAATTAATGCATCAGCGCTAGGCGAGCGACAGAGTTGGACAAATTTTCAGTCAGTTTCCTCTATTTTCTTCCAACTTTAGACTGTAATTTCTCATTCACTCGAAATTGTTTTGGAGATTTTAAATATATCATGAAGATCTATTGGACGAGTAGAACAAATTAGTTTACTTATTTTTATAATTTGACTATCGGATCAAGTTCGAATATTTGATCAAAGTTGACACGAAAGTCACTTTTTCATGATTTTATACTTAACCAATTCCAACAAGTCGAAAGGTCAACACATGTTCAAATGATGAAGAAATCATATGGTGTCAAACCATCTTATGATCGCTACAATTGCACGGTGGATCTCCTCGGAAGAACTCGACAATTGGATGAAGCACTCAGTCTTGTTAGAAGCATGCCAACGGAGCCCAATCCTAGCTTATGGAGCACTGGTATGGTATTTTTGTGAAATGTGATCAATTGCACTTCATACACATAGGTTAGGGGCGTACATGCCAAGAAACAAATATTAAGAACCATTTGCAAACTGAACGCAAAGGTTTAAGGACATTTAATAAAGATGGATCGAAGTGATAGATAACAACATAAATTATTATTAAAACTTGGGAAGCTAACATATCTACTAATATCGCCGGCCATGGAATCTTTCCGTTGGGTTGGTGGGGTTTTAGAAGCTAAAAAACAAAATAATGAGATAATTAATCTAAATAATTTAAATGTTTGTAGGTCATGAAATATCTTAAGCGTGTTCGACTACGTAGAATATCTTCACTAATAGCTTCGAAATTAGTGTGATTTTATTAAATAAAACAACACTTGACAGTTACTTTTATTATTTAATTTTTAAAACAAGAAGTTAGGTAAGCAATGCAAACGACACAAGTGACAAATTCAAACTGCCATTGGTCATTTCCTTTTATTTGCACAATTATTACGAAACGACTAAAACCTTTCAAAATCTCGTTAACTTGTCATGTGACATTCATAAAAGTACACCTCACTTCAAAGTTGAGATAAAAAAATCTAGTTTCGCAAAGTTGAACATTTAAGGTCCATGTAATGGTAATGACTTAATAAAGATTGGATGGTTTTTTACGTTAGAGATGAATTGTGCAAATAGAATAAAATATTGATATCAACTTACTTTAAATCTTTTTAAAGGTTTGGGACCAACTTGCTACTTGGACAACTCCATGTACAGGCGCAAGTCTCTCAAGAGTCAGGAGCAAGTGAAAGTGTGCCAGCATTGCAAGTTTTTAGTTTCTCCTAAAGAATCTACTGCTGAGACTTTCTTGGAAGTTGATCACAATGGAAGTTGAGATAATTTCAAGAGAAAACATCAAGCCCTCTTCACAAACACCTCATCACTTGAAAACCTACAAACTTTCACTGTTAGATCAAATCATTCCACCTGTTTATTTTCCAGTACTCCTATATTTCCCTGCACAGCCTAATGTTAGTGCAGATGTTGAATTCATTTCTCACAGAATACTACTTCTGAAACGATCACTTTCTTTGTGTTTAACTCGTTTCTACCCGTTTGCTGGAATAATCACGGACAGTCTATCTGTTGATTGTAACGACGAAGGGGTTCCTTTTGATGTGGCTAAAGTCAAAATTTGTCTATCGAATTTTCTTGAACAACCTGATCTTCGATGGGTTCAAAGTTTTCTGCCTTGCGCGTTTAGTTGGGAGGAAAAAGCACAAGGATCGAACGTCTTGATGATACAAGTGAATGTTTTCGATTGTGGTGGGCTAGTGATTGCCATAAATGTGTCACACAATGTAGCAGATGGCATGACATTGTGCACATTTTTGAAAGATTGGGGCCTAATGGCACAAGGGTCTAGCCAAGAAATATTTCCTAATTACATGGCACAATCTCTTTTTCCACAGATAAATAGCCTGCCAGACGAGAAGCACTTATTTTCCGATATTAAGCACTTCGTGAAAATAGCCAAGTACATTCCAAGAAGGTATGCATTTGATGCCTTAGCCATATCCACGCTTAAGGCCAAATCAACAAGCTCAGCAGTCAAATCCCCCACGCGTGTTGAAGTTATATCAGCATTCATCTGGAAATGTTTCATGGCTGCAAAATCTGGTGCATCTTCGACATCTTTACTGACTCATGCGGTGAACTTGAGAAGAAAAACCGAGCCGCCCCTTTCTGAAAATTGTTTTGGGAATTTCTTATGGATAGCAGCAGCACAAAATAGTAACGAAAACGAGACAGATTTGAGAATCCTGGTGAGTAAAATAAGGGAATCGATAAGCAAAATTGACGACGACTTCGTTAAGAATATGCAACGCGAAAAAGGGTATACCGGTTACTATGAAAATCTTGAAGAAACTTCGGAGAGGATTCCTAAAGAGTCTGAAATTTTGTCTTTCAGCAGTTGGTGTAAGTTTGGTATATACAATATCGACTTTGGCTGGGGAAGGCCTATATGGGCATCCAACTGTGTACCTGCGTATTCAGAATCACTATTGTTGAATAGTGTTACATTAATGGACACGAGATCCGGGGATGGAATTGAAGCGTTAGTGATTCTAGAAGAAAAATATGTTGCAGCATTCGAAAACAATGAGGAGCTTCAGGCTTTCGCTTCCATTGATCCTAGTCCAATGGTACTAGGGAAGCAAGTATTGCATTCATAAATCTTCCAGTATCTCCACTAGACAGTAAAAACTAAAAAGTTATGCTGAGAGAGACTAGATTTCCTCAGCAACTTTCAGGTTATTTTCATTATCCGCAGCCATGTCAGATGATGTGTTCTCTTTAGCTTTTATCGCCTGTTTAAAGCTTGATTAGACTCAAGATGATAAGGGGTTTATGTGATTATCAGCAAGACACTTCCCTTTTCGTGATTGTGCTATGTTATTATCTGTAGAAATAGTATGTTTAGCACACGCTAGTAAACATGACTACTATACACGATACCATCTCATGCTCCTCACCAAACTGTCAATTTGACTGTGTTACTTCAATAGAATCAAGAAACTTGTGAAAATCTACTGTCAGGTAGTGTCAAATGTTGTGCAGCCAGAGTTTCCAAACAAGATGCCTCAATTACTAAGAGAGATTTCATATTCTTTCGGATACAAAATATTAATGAAATGGAGACTCAAAAAGTAAGTTTTGTTTCCGCTGTTAACAGGGGAAACCAAATGAATTCATGATATCCTCTAATACCTGATACAATTCTTCACAAGATGTACAGAGAAGAATATTGCATTGATTTTATCAGAAACAAATTAACAATCAAATGTCGGCACACATACAACAGCAATCTTCTCTTGTACAAAAACAAACACATTTGGGATGCCAAACTCGATTGTGATTAACGAAGAAACAAAATAAAGATCTAGTTCGTTTTACTATGCAGTACTGTCTAAACTGCATAACAAGCATAACCTAAACGGCTTATCAACATAAACTATACAGACAAAAAATCTGCTTCCCCTAAATTGAAGAAACCAAGTGTGTGTTGCTAGCTGCATTTAGACAAGCCAGAAAACACGAAAATTAAAGACCAAATCTGAACCACAGCTTCATTCCCCTTGGCATGTAAACATGATTTCTCCCACCATGTGTTCCAGAGAAACCGTCTGCTTCTGATGCATGACTAATTTAGTTAAGTACTTGGAAGTGGGAACCAATATTGTGGCCACTTCGGATACGTGCGCTTGTATAAACTCAAGCAGACTGTGTCGTGCTGCTGAAGGAACCCGTTGAAAACACATTTCATTGCCCCTGAAAAAAAGATGGGGAGAGAATTTGTTATGCTATAACCTTATAAAGGTGGACTTTGATTAATGATCATAATTTCATTATGACAGATATAAAAAATATATATTCATAGAATGTCATACCATGTGTCCCAATAGGTTCTTTAATACGACCACGGCGCCCACACTTGGTCCAAACTTCAATCGGCTGCAACCAACAAGAAGATCAACAAGGGAAGAAAGAGAAATGGTCAGACCATTACAAATGCAATTATACAATTAAATACAGTAACATACTGAAGTGTTAGCAGTTCTTACCTTGAACCATCTCATGTCCTCTGGATTATGAAACATGTATCTTACAGTTGCTTTCTTTTTAGATACACGTTGAGGGTAACTGCATAAGATAAAAATTGTGTTGTTCAATTAGATATACAATATTCCAACAAATATGTGAGTTGGCAACCTATCAGATTTCTTTCTGTACTTGTGGCATGCGAAATCCCAAAAGCTGGAAGAACAAAGCAGCATGATTTTAGTTGAGTATAATTTGCCCCTACTTTTAGTTGAGAATGACTTGGACCCTACTTTACCAAACTGAAGCTTTTTGAATATGACAATCAAGGACTGAGGGCAGCCTTGATTAGTGCATCACAAAATAGTGTTACCAACTAAACTTGCATAAATGAATGCAAAAGCAACATTCAGAAGCATAATCACAACCCTTGCATACAGCCTAAAATGGAGGCAAATGTAACTTCAGAAGATCCCTATTAATTAAGTTCGCGAGTGTAAAACATAGAAATTACTAAAAATAGTTTCTTACCCAGATAAAATAATTTTCGTAAGGATAATCCTATCAGGATCTATACTTTTCAAGGAACCAACAGCAGCAACTGTAGGGATGGAATCATCTCTCTCACTCTTCAAAGCAATTAGAGGAAGAGAAGGAAAAGAAATTGGAGCGTAAATTGAAGCTATTGAAAAACGCCCAGCATGAAGAAACCTCTCCATTTTTTGCTTATCAGAATTGATATTATCTCAAGAATAAATTGGCCTGATCATCGAAAAGAAGACAATGTTCAGATAGTGAAAATCGAGGAGTCATGTAGAAGAAAAACAAAAGACAGTAGAAAGAAACGAACCGCGATAAAAACTGGCGAAAGCCGACATGGAATAGGAGTTCTTCTTTTGCTTTGATAGGAGCATCATATGTGTCATGCTTCCTGATGCTGCAAAACACCCAAAAAAAGATTGTATCAAAACAGTAAGAAAGTCTTAACAGAAAAGGAGGGGGGAAGGAGGAAGGGAAGACGCAGGAATAGGTACCTGAAATGGAGGACTGAGATTTTAGACTCGTTCTGCAAAAGACCAGAGGATATGATCGGCATTTTCTTAGCCAACATGCATAACTTGGATGCAACACCATTTGGTACTTCCTTGATATGAATTCTTGCATATGAGCCAACTGGTATACAGTCATTGGCATCTTGCTCCATATCGAGTGCTCTAGCAAGAACATGCTTCTGTGTTCTTGTAAAATTGTCAAATGCAAAAATCCTACCATATTGATGAGGAAGAGATTCCTAGAAATTCATATACAAGATGTTCAGTTCTAGCATTCACAAATAACATTCAATCTGTTCCTCGTATAACACAAGTAAATACTTCGGGGTCCCATGAAGATGTTCTGAAAGACTTGACACCTCTGTACTTGGCAAATCTTCTTCGAGCAGGAACGTCCAATGGGGTATCCACTTCATCTGGAAATTCTGAATTGTAATAAAAAAGACATTAGAAAACAACATTGACGATAGAGAATAACTCTCCCTGCAGAAAAAGACTAAACTAAAATTTCAAAAAACCTAAAGGGACGCACAACTACCCACTTCGTCCTGGGATAACAGAAAAAGGTATTCTATTATTTCTTAAAACAAAAGGTTCATCCTACTCCTTTATCCAACAAAGCATTGCAGTGCACGACTGCGATCTTGCAACACTTCAAAGTTAAATCCATGTCTCTAATATACAAAGGACCAAAATATTCTTCAAATCCACACACGCACTCCATAGCTGCATCTCCAATATTGTTTATACGTCCACGTGACTTAACAGAGTATGATTGCAATTAACTCCTACCAAGCAAACCATTACTTTAGAGCTGCAAAAACAATGTAAAAATTAGAAAAGTACCCTCGTCTTCAGCATGTTCTTCTTTAATTTTTTGAATTTGTTCCTCTATCTGTTCTTTTGTTAAGTTATCACCTTCCTGCAATACAAATCAGCATTTTTACGCACAGAACACAGAAGTAACTAATGGGAGCACACTTCGAAACAAAAGTGTCTCAGAAAAATGTATTAAGTACACTTCCTTCTGAGGGAAAATGTAAACTCTTATCATTTAAAAAAATTGCTTGATTTACATTTTTCTAAATATATATGACACATCCGGTGTAACATGCAATATCGGAATAGAAATAAGTGCAGTGCTAATGATGTGTACAATAGCAAGCTATTAAACTTTAATATTGCGCAAAATCCACAAAATCAAGTAGTGGACACATTTGACTAACATGGTGGTGGAGGATACTTCATTGATTAAATGAAGCTTCTTGTTAACAGCATATTACTCCAAAAAAGTTCAGCATTTTCTTTTTGGATACTAAACGAAAAAGAAATCAAGCCTTTCTGTAGCTCGTCATATAATATGCTATGCCAATCTGCTATTTCAGCTAATATGGTTTTGATCACAGAAAGGCACATTATTTCAATGCATTAGCAGTGCTCAGGAACAGCTTCTTACTAGTAGGAGCTAATCAAGTGGGATATATATGTATCAAATACTCACCATAACCATAGAATCAGTTTCAGTTTCTTCATCGGATACTCTCAAAAATACGGAACCCTCGTCATCGTCAAGCTCAAAGTCGTCCTTATGCTGCTGGACAGGAAAACCACTCTCTACATCGTCCAGCACCATACCGTCATCTCCATCCTCATCAGTATCAACTTCATCAGCATCAGAATCATCCACAATCCAAGCAGCCTGAAAAATTTTGAGAACAATAATCACAGTGAAGATATATTACCTTCAGTTACCTCAGTGTCAAAATAACAAAGACCAGATCAAAGAATGTAAAGAGAGAAAAAGACTTTATAAAAATGGAGAGGAGGACCACACCTGGTAGTCAGAGGTGCCCCAGGGGAGTTCTTCTTTTTCTGTTTTCTCTCCTTGTGGTTTTTGTCGGCTTCGGCCATTTCTGCCTCCATTGGCCATGTCTAACGAAAATAGAATTGTTACTATCAATAACTTTGTATAATTTTTCAAATTGAAACAATTCAGCAAACTTAAAATGGAAAGAGAGAATAATAAGCTCTATGGTTAGAAGAATTCTGGCATAACATATTATCATGTACATAACACAAATAATTTACCAATAACCAAGAAAAGCAAATTTGTTGCATGAGGTATAAGTTTGAAGGAAACAAACTAAAATCTTAACAAAGTAGGCCCTGAATTGCATGGTATAAAATCTGAAAATTTTACAGAGTACTAATACTAACCAAGGCCTCAATTTCATTGTCTAGATGCTGACTATAAAAACTAAATGAAATGATATTAACCTGTTCTCCCGCTATTGGGTCAGGGGTATTTTCAACAAGTAAAGACTCTTGCTTCAACGGAACAGGGGTAAAGCAATGCACGACCTGCATTATTTTAAAGAAACAGTAAGATTAATATACAAAAGAACAATCAAATGCTGTCATGTAAGGTATACAGGATAGTCTCAATAATACTGGAATGTTTACATGATTGTCGTAATCAAACTATCCAGATGTGAAAAGACATGGGCTCTACCCTAAAACGCTCTAAACAAAGTAGCTTATAGACTTCGCACAGTGAAAAAAAGCGGTTTTCCCCCACCCTTATATATATATATATTTTTTTTTCAAAGAGGAGAAGTAGGCAAGAAACGCTCAAAGAAAGAAGCGCCCCAAAAGAGAGTTTATCATCTCATGTATAGTAGAAGAGAACGTCCTTATTTACTTTAATATGTGAGAGACCTACATTCAATTTCTTTTTCCCAACTCAGTTATTTAGAAGGGAAGGTATAGAAAAGAAACCTCACTTCGACATACTTGAAAAGCCAGTTTCTTAGTGAAACTAAAAAAGCTTTATAAAATGTTCAACATTGTATCATACTTCAGTTCAAATATTTGGACCTTTATATTTCTTTCTGCAAAAATCGCACAAGGACAAAAAGATTATTAGGGTGAGAGAAACCTGGTTTATTAACATACTAAAACTGTATCAGGTGATTGCACTGAGATACAACCACATATTGTTCGTCGTCCAAGTGATGTAGAATGAGAAAGAGATAGAAATAGAAGAGAGGAAGAATTTGAGAATTGGGAGAGTTACCAATACACTGAATATGTCAAATCAATTGTCTTATTTAGAATTAATAAGTCCTACTCGTACTAAAAATTCCTAAAGAAATGAAAATTTAAAAGTAACGGGATGGAAAATTGATTGACTGAAGCTAAAAATTATGGTAACAAAATAAATTAAATCACTAATTTTCAGACCAAAAGTGCATAATTTTGGCATGTGTGCAATGAAATTTCCGTCATCAATACTTGAGAATATTCATAAATAGTATCAGAGACGTGAATTAAACAGAAACTTTCAAATAAATTACATGTTGCAAAATACAGGGTAAATGGTAGTGAGTATAATTCATTGTTCTAATTACTTCATTATTTTAAATACATATATCTTGCCAATACTGGGCCAACCTGTACATTTGTGTCATCTGATTCCATATAGTCCTCTCCTTTTCTTGCATTCACAGGACATGGATCCTTGAGAAGTTCAATTTTGGACAACTGTAAGTCCCCAGCACCAGCAACATGAACCTGATCCAAGACTATTTAGACTCTGAACGGATTTCTTAGATACAAATCAATAAAAAGAGCAAAGGATACTACCGGCTGATTCACTGAGAGGCCATAAGCACGTATGTAATCAGTGAGGAGAAGGGTACATTTTCCTGAATTGCAGTCATCAGGTACAATATCAACCTGTATTGCAACAATGCTTCATGTGTAAAACCAGTGTGATCTTCTAAAGCATTCCATGCACACGAATGGAAACAACACAGAACAGAATTTTAGAACGTTGGCATGCACTTTTTGCAGTTACTTTCTTTCAAGTCGTTTATCAACCTAAGTTCAGCACTAGCATTAGGTACCATTTTAGTATAAAACTTTTTAGAGTTTCCTGAGTGTAACTGATATCATTTTGCCTGCAATATAAGATGCCACATCAGGCAGACCACAGGTAGTCAGTACTCACTTTTGAACTTGGAGCAGATTTTCAGGTCTTAGAGCAAGTGCAAAAAAAAGTCTAGAATTAGGACCCAAATTTTCATCGGCACAAGATAACTTGGTCACAATTCTTATCCTTGAGGGAGAATTATTATCCATTGCCCCCAATTTTCATGGGCACAAGATAACTTGGTCCCAATATCAAGAAGCTTCACGCAATTTACAACTGGTTAAATATCAATACATTTAACGAGCCTTCATTATATGTCAAACAAACAATGGGAAAGGATCCTGGAAGTTTTGAAATGAATACGAAGTGCTAAGTAATGCTGAGATCTGACAACGAAATTCCTTACAATGTGTCATAGAAAAGATGTTAGAAGGATGAAGATTGTCAATTGAAAAAAAAAAAAGGATATTCAGAAGAAGGGCAGGGGCTAAAGAAGTACGATCTAGTAAAACAAGTATGTAATTTACCAGCTTGGATAAGAATTTGGTTAAATGGTCAATTATACCTTGTGGGACATAAGGTAAGGCCGCTGGTTTCGCCAATGAGGAACTGTAATCCTATGCTCCTTGAAAAGCCGCATAAACTGGAACGCATAAAAGAAGACAGATACTTGAAAGAAATTAGATCCCGTGATCTCAAGATGAAAATGTTTAACGGAAGACAAATTCTAAATTACTCAATTTTACAAGTAAACCCAAAAATCAAAAAGGCTTTAATCAAATGTGTAATGAAAGTACCTTATGCAACTCATCCTTTGTATCTGCCAGGTAAAACTCACAATTCTCAGGAAATTCGGAAGCAAGGCTTGAAGTGCACATCTTCTTTAAGTCATTTTTCTTCTTTACATCGTTGGGTAGATCCTAAAGATATGTACGAATTTTTACCATGCGTCCATAATATCTTTTCAGTAAACATAAAAATAAGCAACTTGAAAGAATGACAATGGAGAAAATACTTACACGGATCAGCACCACAGTGCTTGGTAGACCAAGAGTTCTAAACAGGGAAAGGCATTGAGATCCAAATGAATCAATAAAATGACCATTGCCGTCTTCATGTAAAGAGGTTGGAGATGCTATAAAAGCAATCAAATCAGCAACCTACGAAAAAAGTGTCAATAACACCAAGAACAAACTCTAATGAGAGTTATACAATCCATACATAAGCAAACGCAGCTGTAAGGCAAGCAACGTACCTTAGCCATTTCCATGCATGCCAATAAATAACCATGAGGTGCTTTCAAGACCTATAAGAGACAATTTCAGTTAGTTATGTGCCAACTTCTGTGAAGAACAAAAGATTGTTAATCAACTACTTAGATTCTCCAACGAATAGATATTATGAAGTATCCCATTTACTTCATGATTTTATCTAAAACTAAAAGTTACAGCTAACGAGCTAATAGTTAAGAACAAACTTAATCAATAATATTCTTCCAAAAAATATCCAAAAACATTGAAACAATATCGTCCTGTCAAGTTAAAGTGGGAAAGATTACACTCCTTAACTTTAGCCTTCATTTTCTTCTAAATTCCAACTCAGAAACCCTTATCAAATTGTAGTTGCTAAAATATGTTCCATAAACAGTCCAATGCCACCAAACATCTATAGAACATCAATTCTGGCAGACTATTTAAATTAATTAAAGGACACAGAAAGCCACTGAACTAACTCAAAACAATTAAGCAGACTTTAAAAATTAGCATAAGGACAAACAAAGTGATAGTAACAGAAAGCAACTAGAGTAAGGCTTGGTTTGATATTGATGTGCTTTTAACATAATCAGCTTTTTATTGTGCTGGAAATATAATTGACCGCAGGAAGAATATGTTAATGGTTTGGTATACTTTTTTTTCAAAATTATTCTATGTTTCAAATTAGCATTTTAAAGTTTTTTTTTTCATAATCGTGGATGTCCGGGCCAGCTTGCGCTCACCTCGACTAATCTCACGAGACCCCGAGGTTTACGATCGGATACTCATCTCAGTGGCCTGCGTGGACTCGAACTGGTGACCATTGAAGAGCAAACTCAAGGCCTGATCAATTGAGCAACCCCCCAAGTTTAGCATTTTAAAGTTTAGTAAATAAAAATGATTTATTGACTTGCATGTATACAATTACTAAAATGAAAATTCATTATAATAATGTTATATTGTATAATTATTATTATTATTGTTACTTGATAGTATTGTAAAATTTATTTTTACTTTTACAACAATAAATGTGCAATATTCTTAATATTTTCTAAGAAATTATATTCACCATAATTATTTGAAAATGAAAAAAATTAAAATCTATTGAATATCATAGTATATAAAATTACAAAATAAATATTGGCCAGGCCTTTGGGTTTGCCCCCCAATGGTCACCGGTTCGAGTTCCCTCAAGATCACTGAGGTGAATACCCGATCGTAAACTTCAGGGCCCCGTAGGATTAGTCAAGGTGCACGCAAGTTGGCTCGAATATCCACGGTTATTAAAAAAAAAAAAATTACAAAATAAATGCATAGTCTATATAGCAGAAAATGAATTAATTTAATTAACTAGGATTAAAATTGATATTTTAATTATAGATAATTGGAGAAGCTAAAAGCATAATCAGATAATCTGAAAAGCAACCTTTAGCTGCTTCTAAAAGTATTCTTCTATAATTATTATTATTTTTATTTACTAAACATCTAAAACAACTTTTCATTTCTGAAAATCAAAAGTTGGGCTCTAAAATCAAATCCCAAACGAGGCCTAACTCAAAACAAGTGACATCAAAATTTGCCACTCGAGGTAAATTAAATATTTAAGAGCCTACCGTGGCTCTCAGCTTGTACTCCATAGAGGCAACGGCTGGAAAAACAGCATTGTTTCCCTCCTCGGACAACAATGCCAGAATATCTTCTTCAATTGCATCCAAGTTCACAGAAGCAGCAAGACCAAAGAGTACCTACAATGTTATTTACAAGTTGAAAAGAGATAAATTTTAATTTCTTTTCTCTTGCTTATTACATTAGTCATTGGGAGACAACGAAAAGCACTTACAATAACACGGGGAGGACTTTTTGATCCAGATGATGCCCTCCTCTCTTTCAAAACCGCTCTCTCTTCTGCTCCCTCATCTACAGGTTCACAATGGTTTAATCAAAAACCTAATCCAATATTTTTCAGTAAGTAATACTGCTCTAATAATCCAGTAATTATACGGCATACACAGACATTTATACAACTACACCCTGAAATAAATATCAACTTAAACAAAGAAAAAAATACCAGTTTGTTACGTTGCAAGCGAGCAGCTTTTGCTACCTTGGCAACATTGCGCTCAGATTTTGAAATTTTACTCTTGTCTAACAAAAACAACAGAATCAGAGTTCAGAATTTGTAATTGAGAAAATTTATAAAATCAAAAGTCTAAAAAATAAAGAATTTGTCAATTTGAAAACACTTGCAAAAATGGCAACTGTTCAAAAAATTTGATGAAAATACCATTAATTTGAAATAAAATGTCATTCTAAAAAATGATTTAAGCTATAAATAAATAAAATTAGTGATGGATAAATGATTAATACTTATAGATCTCTCAAATTATTTGAGTAATCATAAAAATAATTTTGCAAGCATGAGCCAACCATATGCTTTCCCTTGAAACCATTTTCTTTTCTCTCCTCCAAAATCAATTTGCTCTCTCTCTCTCTCTCTCTCTCTCTCTCTCTCCATAATCGAGGATTTCCATGTCACCTTTTCAAATTGAAAACAAGCATGTCGATTGGACGATCCAAGCTCACATTTGGTGAAGAGATGGATTGAGGACCGAACTAAAAAAAATAAATCAAGACAAATATTTAAAAAAAAAATTAACATAAAAAATTTACTTCAAAAAAATAAATAAATCACATAACATACTTGAATGGGCTAGAAGGGAATTGGGCTAAAGCCCATCCCAATCTCTTCTAAATGCACCAGTGGGCGAAAGAAGCTCAGCTCACTTCACACCAAAGTGTGAGCCAACTCACCTAATGGATCCAGCCAAGCCCAATGATCAACGAGTCGAGGTATTCAACTCGATGCATTTAACACTTTCACTCTCTCTTAAGCGGCCCTTTCTATCCATCGGACTCCACCAACAAAGGTCTTCCTTTTCGTGTTCTTGATTTTCGTAGCTTGTATACGAGAGTTTTGGGATTGGGGGTGGGATTTTTTGTTTTGTAGGAATGAATGTGGGAATCGGTTGGATTTGAAGATCGAAACGAACAAGGGAGAATAGGAGGAGGAAATAAGTATAATTTCAATATTTTTCTTGAAAATAAGTTTAGTTAAAAACTTTTTGTACAACGGCATTTTTTCTACTATATACACCCTAACTAAGGGCATCTTTAATGAAATTCCATTTGAAAATTCTTAAAAAAAACAAGATAATCAGAATATCGATGACGGTCTTGCTCCATCGTCTTTGTACCAGAAAATGAACACGCCATTAATTCCTCCACCACTTCACCTCCTCTTCCCTCCACAGCGATTCCCTTCACCGCCGTTCTACCAATGCCACCAACACCACGTTTACCTCCTTCACACTGCACTCTTCACCATTCGTTGTTCCGCCTCTTCCAACACTGCACAATAACTGAATTTCACCAACAAAGAATATGAAGAATAGAGCGACGTCACTTCACTCACAAACCCCCAATACGACTCACTTCTCTCATCACCTTCCTCTCATCCTTCCAACACATTCCTACATCCGAGTCTGACTCAACACAACGGAGCTTCTACTCGCATAATCATTAAAAGGTGCATTTGACAGTGCAAGTAAGATGAAATCGAGTAGTAATGAACTTAACCAAGTTAGTTGAGAAGACAACTTAAATAAAAGAAAAAGGTTGAGACGTAAAGGTCCTAGAACTAGAACAGCGTACTGTGAGCATACAAGAGTTGGACAAGAAAAATTGGCTAAGAAAGCCAATAGAAAGAGAAAACGCTAAAATTGCCTATGCTGAAGTTTCTAGAAGCTTGCGGAGAGAGCTGAAACTTTTCTGTAATTTAAGGAAATATCTAGCAACTTCAAATGGGTAAGAAATCTCCCCAACATTCTAGAACTACCTAGAGAATATACCTAAGGTATGAGAAGATTCTAGAACACCCTAAACATAGTTGTATGCTTGAAAATTGTATAGAGAATTCTAGAATCTCCACCACATGTTAAGGAGGTGGGATGCCTATAAATACCCACCTAGGCCATTTGTAATGGACATACATAAACACATAGAAAAAGTGCTCTAGTGCTCTATTGTGCTCCTTTGTACTCTTACTTGTACATACCATTTGCACATAATAAAAGCCTCTATTTGAGCATTCCAAAACTCTTGTGCATTGTGAGAAAGTGTGCCTATCTAAGCTTCCATTTTCTGGGAAGGCTGACTTAGTTGGATTTTAGGGAAACCAATCGACTAAGTGCCGCACGAGGACAAGCTAAAGTTCTTGTACCGTGACACGTGGTATCAGAGCCTAGGTTACATTACAAGGGGTGTAAGTAACATTGTCTGGGAGCGAAGTGGAAGTTGGCAACGTCACCGAAGTACAAGAGGAACGAGGGCATGAAGAGACCCGAGTTCAGCCAAAGAGGAGGGCAAAGTCCAAGGAGATTATGGGTGAGATAAGTGTCTCTGCGGACATAGTTGAGGCCTTCAATACAAGGCTGGCCAAGGTGGAGTTGGCCATGGGAGAAGTCGTTGACACTCTTGACTCGTGGGAAGAGGAACAAGAGAGTAGGGATGAAGAGATAAAGGAGCTCGAGGGTCGACTACAAGGTGCGCTCAATTCTTTCATTGATAGTATGAATAAATCTATGGAAGAATTTCGTAGCATCATTAGAGGGGAAATTAAGTCCCTAGAGGAGGAACTTTGTGAGGTAAAGGGAGACCTCACATTGCAAGGCTGCCCTAGCCACGGGAGCATCGACGAGTGCTACCCCAAAGGTTAAAATCCCCGAACCACCAAAATTCGGTGGTAAATGAGATGCTAAAGAGTTGGATGACTTCATTTGGGCAATTGAAAGATATTTGGACACTATGCACATAATGGATGATGCTACCAAGGTAAGTACCTCTACCTTATATCTTGAGCATGATGCCGCCCTATGGTGGAGACGAAGGCATGCCGAGATGGAGAGAGACTGGTAGAAATAAATACTTGGGATGCATTCAAGAGGGAACTAAAGAAACAGTTCTACCCCGAAAATGCGGAAGAAGTGGCTATAAAGAAATTATGTATGCTTAAACATACGGGTTTTCTCAAGGACTATATTAGAGAATATTCATCGTTGATGTTGGAAATTCCGGATATGCCCGACAAGAGCCGCTTGTTGTACTTTCTTGATGGATTACAACGATGGGCAGAACAAGAGATTAAAAGGCGAGGTGTCCAAGATCTTACTAGTGCCATTGCGGTCACCGAATCCTTGGTGGAGTTTTCAAAAGAATCTTCTAAGAAGGATAAGATAAAGAAGGGGAATAACTTTGGCAAGGGTGGGGGAGACAAACCCCACAAGGTAGCCAAGCCTTTCAAGGGAAAGGAAAGGCAAGAAGAGGGCAACAAGGAACAGCCCAAGGCACGTCGGGATTGTTTCTTGTGCGGTGGGCTGTACTTTGTAAGGGAATGCCAGAAACGTAGCAAGTTAAATGCCATCATATCCTCCTGCGAGGGGATCGCTCAGCAAGGTGAAGGTGCGCAGTTGGGGTCACTGCGTGTACTTTCCTCGGTAAAGGCCAGGGCGCAAGAAGAGCCTAAGGTTGAGGTATCCAAGGCCAAGGTCGAGCCCAAACTTCGACCAGGTAAGACCCTAACCTACATTGATGCCAAAGTGAATGGGGCGGATATCAAAGCATTACTAGATAGCGGTGCCAATCAAAACTTGGTGTCAAGCGATGAAGCAGGAAGATTGGGTCTCAAATTCGCCAAG